TGGTCACACGCCGCTGCCATAAGACCCCTCTGGCCCTCATTTCATGGTTTTGCATTGGCTGGTGTCGTTAGCAGCGGGCTTGGTCACTTGGTTACCGCCTTCAATCAATATGATACGAGGTGTCATTGTACATAGTTATGAAATAATTTAGTGAATATTTATACCCTCAGTCATATGGCTGGAGAGGATATATATCATTTGATATGGCCAAAACGTGCCACATCGAAATATCGGTTTTAGACCCTAGGTCTCTTTGGACCAAATCCGTTTCAGGAAATTTGGAGTCGATCAAGTGATGTCCGTCCGCCTGTATATCTGGCTGGTGCGCACGATAGCTCTTGAAGGGAGTATCCGCTTTGGTCCAAACTTGGTGCATCGTAATATTTTTGTCAAACTTAGAACGAGTTCGGAGATGGGTAAATCTGTCCACTCCTTTTGGTACCTCCCCCACAAAAGGTCGAAATTTTCAAAAAAAAATATTTTTTTGCACAGAAAGAGAAACGATAATCCGATTTTGCTCTAAATTTGCAAATCCTAATATTCACATCAGTACAAGGTCAGGTGCGTAAATGGACATTATCGGTTCACTCCATCAAGGGCCAACATTTTGAGTAATTATAAATCTTATGTGATATAAGAGTCCGGTTGTCTTCAAATTACACACATCGTAATATTTTTGTTAACCCAAGGTCTAGTGGTAGGATGGAATATATCGGTCCACTCCTTGTGGTACCTCCCCCACAGAGGGTGAAAATTTTGAATAACCACGAAGCTCATAAAACACGAAATTAACATCCGATTCCATTCAGAATTAGCGCATCCCAATATTTCCATCAAAACAAGATCTTTTATAAAGGTGATAGAGATTGAACCACTCCTTCTGGTACCTCTCCCACAAAGGATCAAAGTTTTGAATAACCAAAGCGTTTACAAAATCCGAAATAAGCATCAGGTTCTCTATATATTTCACACATTCCATTATTTCTACTAACACAAGATGTGTGGTGAAGATGGGATTTATCGGTCCACTTCTTGCGGTAGCCCCCCACAGAGGGTCAAAATTTTTAATATATCAATGAAGCTCATAAAACACGAAATTAACATCCGATTCCATTCAGACTTGTCACATCTCAATATTTCCATCAACACAAGATCTTTTATAAAGATGGTAGAGATCGAACCATTCCTTCTGGTACCGCCCCACAAAGGGTCAAAATTTTGAATAACTAAAACAATTATAAAATCCGAAATAAGCGTCCGGTTCACTTAATATTTCACACATTCCATTATTTCTACTAACACAACATCTGCTGTGAAGATGGGATATATCGGACCACTCCTTGTGGTTCCTCCACACATTTTGAATATCCATGAAGCTCATAAAACGCGAAATTGGCTGAGGGTATACATCTGTCGGCAAACCCGACTGATACTTTTTTTTAAACACCTGATCCATGAATAAAATCTATTCGAAAACCATATTTGCAAAAAAAAATGTTCATAAATTATTCTATAAATATTCATAAATGATTCTACAAATATACCAAAAAGTTCCACGACAGTCCCCCCTCCAAAAATTACTTGCAATGACAGAAGGTTTAGTAATATGACATATTTTCAAGTACTGTAATAAATAATAATTATTAACACAGATTGGTGTACGGATTTGTTTGCCCCAACTCCTGTCGGAGTCTAATATTGTCTTTTGCCGGCTAATTGTCTTGACATTCAAAAACCTAATTCAATCCGTAAATTCCCTTTTCACATATTAATAAAAATAAAAACACATTTTTATCTACATAATTGCGTGCCAAATCTTCATCTAAATGCTGATGAAAATATTAAAAGGATATCCCCTCCCATCCATCGTTAAACATAATAAAGGAACATATTTTTTAAAAAATTATATTTACCAAGGTAAGCATGTCGTCTTAAATCATTTATTACAAAAAATGCCAGCATTTTAAAAAAATCAATTATGCAGTCATTTTTAAATTCGATCCTGTTCGGGGTTTGTCAACAATGAAAAACGAAAACAAATCCAGAGAGAAAAATGTAAACAAACAGTTACCAACAGACCACCAACAACATCTCAGAGTCTGAGACTCAGACTCAATAGATTCTCAGAGCAAATGTAATCAATTTTGTTGTTCTCATTACAATGCAATGTTGTCAATGTTGTTATGAGAAACTGGAGTTGTGGGGGTGAGATTTGGGATGTGCCCACAACAAGTAAGAGACAGAACATAGGTGATGATTCGTCTACAGTGTGGCCAATGTTATGGTGTGAAAAAATCGCTAAAATGACTTTATTATTGAGTACAGATGCTAATACCACCCATAAAATTTACGACGCATTTTTTACAATATATGGTGCATAATATAATAAGGAAATACAAACAATCCCAAAAACATAGTATGGTGTAGGGTATTATGGAGTGCATTTATGTATTTCTCGGTTTGCAGAATTTATTTTGGCATACATTTTTATACCCTCTACCCTGAATAAATCTTTTGTGTCTTGTACCATCGCTCGTTACCGTGATACTGGTAGCGTAGCCCGACGTCAAGGAAGTTGATGGAAGAAAACAGCAACATCAGTAGAAATGGTTCAAAAAGTAAAGAAGCTACTTGATCGACACCCGCGTCGCAGTGGCCGAAAAATGGCTCGTGAGCTGAACATATCGCAATATTCCATTCGGCAAATATTGAAAAATGAGCTCGGGGTAAAGCCATTGACATTTCAAAAAGTGCAAGAACTTACACCGCAACAGAAAGAAAATAGACTCAAAAGATCTAAAGAGTTGCTTCGCTTGGCCGAAAGTGGTGAACTGCCGAATTTGTTTTTCCCCGATGAGAAAACATTCGTAGTCCAGCAGTTTGCAAACAAACAAAATGACCGTGTTTACTTGCCAAAGAGGTCAGCTGAAAATGTGCATCTTCGATTGGCCACCAGAACTCAAGAGCCGGCCATGGTGATGGTGTGGGCCGCCATAACAGCCGATGGTCGCTCTCCGCTCGTACTTATCGACCTTATCAGAATAAACGCCGAATATTATCGCGAAAAAATTCTGGAGAGTGTATTAAAGTCTTGGACACGCAACCTTTTAGGCCGCAGACCTTGGACATTCCAACAGAACGCAGAACCATCGCACTCAGCACGCGCCACCCAAGAATGGTTACAAAATCTCCGCATACCAATCCGTGGGACTATTGTGCCTGGAGCATTTTGGAACGCAAGGTTGGCACTAAAAAATACCAAAGTGTCGTTCACCTCAACATTCGGGCAGCGTGTGACGGGTGATCAATTCGAACAAATCTAAACTTTTGTGGCGTTTGACTTTGTTGCAGTTTTTTTATCTCCCCTGTATATGAATTCAAACTGGAAATGTTTGGTCTAAAATTCGGATATATATGCAACGCTAGATTTTAATTTAAGTCTTCTCAAAGTCATGTACCCATATCAATGATATTTGGTAGGGGAGTTCATATACAACATAATGGTGGGGTTTTGAATATTCGAAGGAAAGATTTAAGAAATTAAAACAACAGCAATAACTAGAAAGCAATGTTTACAGCTCTGATAATTCCTATAGAATTTTTTTAAATAACCTTTAATCCACAGTAGTTTGCATCAGATGAGCTTTTAAAGAAGTTTTTAAAATGCAATGAAAATATATTTTTTACTGAGACGTGATACAATGTAATCTAACCAAGAAAAATGCCACAATTTTGAATTCAACACATTCTTAAAAAAGACCAAGATATATGTGTTAACTATGATTTCTATCTCGATACAAAAAGTTTTTTAATAAATCCGATAAAGATCTATAAATGTGTTTTTTTTTAATCTACTATAATTCTTAAGCATTCCATTCTTGTTCAACGTCCGTGTTGCCAGGTCCATATCTAACAACTAACGAAGTTTTAAAAAAAAACCAATAGTTCAAGAATTGAGGGCTTAACTCTAATTCAGTAAAAACTCTTCAATTTTTTGGGATTTTTTTTCAGGGATAAGTATTTTTTTTTTTAGTTTCCAGAACCAATTTAAAAATACCTACCAATGGAAAAAAATTAAAAAAATTGAGAGTTTTAACTAAACTATAGTTGTTTCGAATTGATGTGTATATCTTCATTTGTCTGTCAAACATATAGTTTTAATTTTTACAATACATTTGAATTTGCAAGCAAAATTTAAATTAATATATTGGGACTCTTAAAAAATATAAAATTACAATGTATTCCCAGAAACGTTAATCCAATCAGAACACTATTAGCATCAAATAAAAAAATCCCACCATCCGCTACCACCAATATCAACAAGTAAAAAAATCACCAAATTGTCATCACTGTTTCAACAAACCAGTCATCGAAGTGAAAACAATAACAAAACAAACAAAAGCGGCTCCAATGCATGCCAACACACTCAAACAATTACACACATATACGGTTTCGTCGTCAACCGAAGACTTTGGGGCCACAAAAGAGAAGAAATAAGAAAACAAACAAACAAATGAGAAAATAAATAATTTCATGTTTTCTTTTTTCATACATTCTTTTCTGTGCAAAAAACACAAGAAAAACAATAAAACTCAAACATGCATAAATACAAAATATAGATGAATGACGATAAACGCTAGCAAGTAATATAGGTTATGATAATTAAAACAGCAACTAGAACTCATTAACTAGGCAAATAATTTAAGACTTTATGCGTTCTTCTTCATCTTCTTGTTCGTCATGTTTGCTTTTATTGCTTCGCCCTCAACTGACGTTTCCCCACCTGGAGCTAAGAACAAGAGAATTCACTAACTCACTTTTAGATATTTCAGTCTTTACGGTCGGTGTTCGGTGTTGTCGTTCGTTCTGTTAGCTTGTTTCCAGCTAACATCAGCAGTTAAATCGCCGAGCCGACCAACAGTCTTAATGAAGTGGAGCATATGAATAGCCAGTAAAGACACTGACACTTATTTTCTTTGTTGTTATTGTTTTATCTTTACCTTGTTTTTATCGTATTTTATGTAATCCACCAAAGAAAAAGGCACTTGAGGTGATGATGATTCGTTTATAAGATTTTTGAATATTTTGTTTTCTTTTTTCCTTTCGTTGTCGTTAAACAAACACAACAACACGATACAGATCCTCGTGAAAGGGATTGCAAGAAAAAGCGCACTTTGATTATCACTTTGTTACGATCATTGGCAGCAATAAAAAAAAATAAAACACAGCACTACTTTTTCATATACGCGAATTTCAAAATCATTTCAATTTGTTTGCAAAAATACGACTTTTTGACTACTTAACAATTCATAAGGCCACAGATGATGAAGATCGTTTTAATTTACAATGCAAATCAGTCGAATACAACAAATACTACGTCGTTTTGTTGGATTTTTTTAATTGCTTTTGGTTTTCGCTCGCTTACTAATAGAAAGGTAGCAAGGTGTTAACGCACAGGAAAAGAGAAAAACGACGAGATGTAAGAAACGACCAACAAGAATGAAGTTTGAGACGTGTTTAATACGGTTCCCCGTTGGTAGTTTCAATTTAATTCTAATTTTTTCTTAATTTTAGAATATTTGCAAATAATTCTTTTGAAAACAAAGGAATTTAGGAGCTTTTAAATTTGTTTTCTACTTGTTTAAATAAATCCAAAATGAGAAAAAGCCACGAAACGAACCTTCGATAGGAAACGTCGCGCAACAACTGATTAATAGAGCTGGCAAACAATCGATGGTAATATCGATACTACATTTTAAAAGGGAGTATCGTTTGATTGTTTGTTCTATCGATAATAGGTCTACCTATTACTCGACGTACGCTTTCAACGTTTTTCACCACAAAGGTTGAACTTACGTTATTTTGCACTGTCGGAATATTTAGAGATTCCTGACCAGTAGATGGCTTTAGCCAGTAAAATCGCCTCCTATGTTGTCAAATGAATAAATTTGAAAAAATATAAACATATGAATGCATGATTTTACCTTCTTAATTCTACCATGCTTTCATACCTTACTTCTTGTGTTCTACACATAATTAATTTCATAAAATTATGAGTTTTATGCGTCATTTTCTACAAAGCCGCACCTCTTTCACCTAAAGGCATGACCAATGAACGTGACGTTAGTTATTACGCCATTATGAGATCAAAAAGTACGACATTCAATGGCTATAGAAATGTCAAAATTAGATGTCTATCCTTCAAAAACACCATATCAGCCAGTTCAAATTGGCATTATAACAGAAACACGTTATAGGATTGCCAATTCCTTTGATTTGATTCCTCGTAAAGCGGGTAATATAGGTGTCCGTGTAGAGCAGACTAAACTTTTTTCAAACAATTATATTTTTTATCTACGATCAAGTTTTTCATTGGATCAGAACAGAAGAATTTACAGTTTTTAATATAAATACATTTTAAAAGCCATTGCCAATGTAGGAGAAATATGACTCCTTAAACAGTTTGAGAAACTCTACATTGGATTTACCTCAGAGTTTTTCAATATATTTTGTGTATTCAGCAGCTTAAACTTAACAATAGATTTGTGTATTGCATTAAAACTTTAAAAGACAATTATTATTTTTAAATATTGGTGGTATTTAATCGTTTTCAGCAAAACTGTTCAATAAAAGATTTTGTTACAGTTTGAAGAACTCTGCGTTCGACTAACGGCGGTATTTTCGACTTTGCAGTGTAAGCAAACCAATAAAATTAGATATTTATAAATTATGTCAGAGATATGGGAAATAACTGAATTAAATTATGAAATCTTGAAGCAAACACATATGTCACAACTGGGAAATTTCAATTTCTGCTAGAAATATATAAAAAACTATACATTACAGTTTGAGGAACTCTGGATATAACAAACGGCGGCTTATAACAGAGGAATACGTCGACTTTGAAGTGACGCCGCCGCCGATAAGCGTTTTAGTTTGGCTCCGTCCAACTGACGTAAAACCTCGTGGTCTTTCTTTTCGTGGAGTTCTTGTAAACAAAAACGTGCATTTTCAAAATATCAATTAAATTGAAGATATTTTGTTTGATTGACTCCAGTTTCTTAATAAAAACTTTCTAAAAAATGGGCTTTGGTGGCGGCGGTGGACGTGGTCGTGGTGGTGGCGGTGGTTTCGGCCGTGGTGGTGGAGGAGGCGGTGGATTTGGCCGTGGAGGTGGTGGCGGACGTGGAGGAGGTGGTGGTCGTGGTGGCGGTGGAGGTCGTGGCGGTTTCGGTGGCCGCGATCGCAACAATTTCAATCAAGGACCACCAGATCGTGTCATTCCCCTCGGTCACTTTGCCTACAAATGCGAAGATGATTTGGTGTGCAAAGTAGAAATCGATGATGTGCCTTATTTCAATGCTCCAATCTTTTTGGAAAACAAGGAACAAATTGGTAAAATTGATGAAATTTTCGGTACCGTCAAAGACTACTCGGTGTCGGTGAAATTGTCGGAAAATATGAATGCCAGCAGTTTTAAGCCAAATCAGAAACTCTTCATTGATCCCTCAAAATTGTTGCCTATTGCGAGATTTTTGCCCAAACCTCCACAGCCTAAGGGTGCCAAAAAGAAGGGACCAGCCGGTGGTGTTGGTGGTGCTAGAGGCGGTGGTCGTGGAGGTTTTGGAGGACGTGGTGGCGGTGGCGGCCGTGGAGGTTTTGGTGGTCGTGGCGGCGGTGGCCGAGGAGGTGGTGGATTCAACCGAGGCGGTGGCGGAGGAGGTTTTGGCAGAGGCGGCGGTGGTGGTGGCCGCGGAGGCGGTGGTGGCCGTGGACGCTGGTAAAAGAGACTAAGTTAATTTTAAGTGACTACATATTTCGGTAGTTGTTAGAGAAAAAATATAGTTTTAAGATTATGTTAGAGAGCATTTTTAACATATTCAATACCGTTTTACACATAAACATAAGTAAATTGTAAATTTGTTTTTACAATGGAAAGAAGTTACTTTTTTTAAACAGAAACCCTGAAATTCAAAACTAATAAAAAAAACAAAATACTAATAAAAACTCGTTTTATACATGTTTTATACATTTTTTATGGGAACTGTGGGAAGGAAACAGAGTATTTGGAAAGTAGTCCAACTTGGAATATCTTAGGAAACATGGATTACAAATACATCTGGGCGCATTTAAACCAAACACATATTTTGATCTTTTACCCTTAGTTAGCAGGTTAATGTGTGGTACCACGGGCAGCAACAAGTGGAAATCATCTATTGCCTTATATTAAAGGCAAATAGATTTAGTCTATTTTTTGTAGTCTTTGGAAGTACACCTATGGGGAAGAATACGTTTTCGATGAACGATAGCAAACATATAAAACTATTTGAATAAAATAGTTTCATTACGATTTTACTTTATTTAAATCGTCTTTATAAGAATTAAAAAAAATAGATACTAAATGCCAAGCATTTTAATGGAAAATAAAAACAATTTCAACAATTATATAGCGTTTCAACACTTTATTTGGTTAACCTTGTCCACTTTTCGCTAACAGCCCAGAGCCATTTTGCTAATGCATCATCCTTAGCCTGTGGTGCCACATCTTTAATGTTACAGTCACTGAAGTATTTACCGCTTACAGTAGCTAAGTCTTCATCCAGAGCGGCGTATAAGGTAGTTTGGGCTCCGTTTTTGGGTGACTTAAGGAAGGGCCAGGACAACGGCTTAAATATCAAGCTTGCAAAGAATGAATTAAAGAAGCCCATGTGTCGGAAAAGCTCAGTATCCACAACACCTGGATGGAGTGCATTGACGGTGACACCAGTACCTAGAGAAATAAAGGAAATTATGTATTTTAAGTGATATTTTTCTTCTTTCTTTCTTTCTTTCTTTATTCAATTCATACTTAATACTAAAGCCTCCAAGGCCAATTAATTGTATTAATAAGGTACTCAATACCAAGTAGAAAAAATTCAAAATAACTTATAATTAACTATAACATTATTAAAAAACCAATTATAAAAGGCTCCCCAGCCAAAACTACAAAAAAAACAAAAGTAAAAAAATGAGTCAATAGAGGCAAAATAACCAACAACAAGCAATTAAATTTTTTTTAGAAAGGTGAACAATAAAGGCGACGATAAAAATAATTTAAAAATTATTATTTAATAATTAAAAAGGAGTAAAATGAAGAAAATAAAAGCTCAAAACAACGAAAATAAAACTAATTGAATGGTGTAATATCAATGTAGTTCAACGTATCAGTACTACTTTTATAAGAGATGACATGTCTTGGCCGAATAGAACTCTGGGACCTTATTCTCTCATTCGATATCGAACAAATTTAATCTAATTGAATTTTAGCATCATCGAATCAAAAATGTTGGTAGCAAAAATTAGAGATTTAAAACCCAGTTGAATTCTTCAATATTGTCTTTATTATCAATCTTGACATCGAATGCTAGAATTTTACCCTTGGTCTATATTTTTTCCTGTTTTCTTTTATACGTTATGTCATCTGTTATACAATTTAAAATAATACATTCCCCAAAGTTTTGAATAAATTCAAAATTAACTATTATATTAAGTTATTAGCTAGAAAATCACATACCTTCAAGTCTTCTTGCCAATTCTCGGGTGAACAAAATATTTGCCAATTTACTTTGATTGTATGCCTTGCCTTCGTCATATGATTTTTCACTGTTCAGATCACCAACATTGATTTCTCCGCGGGTATGTGCCATACTGGAAAGTACAACAATACGGCTGGGAGCGGATTTCTGGAAGAAACAAGCATACATTTTATAGTTTTTGTTGGAATTATGTATAGGAATCACCTCATACTCACCTTAAGTTCATCCAGGAGAAGATTTGTTAAGAGGAAATGACCCATATGATTGACACCCAATTGCAGTTCAAAACCTTCCTTGGTTAGAGAGCGAGGACAACGCATTACACCGGCATTGTTAATTAAAATATCTAAGCGTTTTTGCTCCGCTTTAAATCTGTAATGTAATAATTTTGTTGTTAAGTCAGCTAAAACGTATTCTTTCTAATTTAACATACGCCTCAGCAAATTGTCTAATCGATTCCAGGGAAGCTAGATCACATTCACGGCAATAGACATATTTATTCTTGGTTTCCAAAACAATTTCCTCTCGAGCCTTTATCATATAAAACACTGATTAAAAAAATATATATTTTAATAATTTTGAAATCGAATTCTACCTCTTCACATTTCTTCATATCTCGGCAAGCCATGTAAACTGTTGCTCCCCTCTTTGCCAATTCTCGTACGGTTTCCTTACCAATACCGGTATTGGAACCAGTAACAATAATGACTTTACCATCGGCTCTTGTGGGCTTTGTAAATTTGCCACCTTGCATCATATCTCTGGAAGACAAAATATGGAAGCCATTCATTTAAATACCTTAAATTTAAAGCATAGGTTCTTACTTAACAAAACATGCTACTCCCACCGTTGTGCCGGCAACACTTGTCCAAAAAACCGGACGGCTTCTGAGAAAGCTGAATAAACCTTCCATGACAGCACAGGAAATAAGTTACTTTGAACTGTGTCTTTACTAAATTTAAAAAATAATTATTGAGATAATTAATTAAAAACAAAAACTTTATCAAATATTATACAAGTACGTACGCAGCACTCAACACACACACGAATGTCAGTGTCATGTTAAACTCGCCAATAGGTAACTACTTTCATGGTAGAAGAATACAGATAGATGCATACACGCTTGAGAACATTGAAATGTCAAAAGTTTTTAAATCTTTTTTTTTTTTTTTTCAAAAATAAGATTTGTATATGTTTTCCTATATGGCGCCCATCGGCGGCTGTGTTCTAATTCAAAATGTCAGTTGTCCATTCAAAAATGTCAGTTCCCAAATTGGTTTGACAACTCATTGTCCCAGCAGCTGCGCCGATGTGACAGTCTGTATTCTTCTACCATGACTACTTTGCAATATAATAGCACGTTTATACCATGACAGATTAACCCATTGGGTTTATTAGATCCAGTGGGTTAACCTTGTGCATTTAGATACACTCCGACAGGGTATAAGTTGTCAATAGAAAATCTAATAAATACCGCGAAATATTTTGTGAAAATAAAAAAATGGAGCAAATTGACAAAAAAGATTATGCTTCAATATGTTAACAAATATGAAACATTAATTTAAAATTATGGGTTTATATTTCACAAATATATTAAGGGCTAAATACATAAGAAGTTTGGAGTCATGGCTAGGCATGTTTTGTGACATTTCATAAAGGGATTACAGAGCCGCACTAAAATCCTGCCGTCGTTTTCCATTATAATTTTCATTAATATGCCTAGCCATGACTTTAAGCTCTTTATGTATTTGCAGCTTTAGAAGTTTTTCACAAGCCTCATATTTTTTCAACTTTTTTCCACACTGACTGCAAATATTACCTTTTGTTGAGCGGACCGACGTTTCTTTTTAATTTGCTACTCTTCCTATGAAAATAAAAAAAACTGACTTAAGCCAGCCATATAAGCGCTTTATGTATTCCCATCTTTACATTCACGCTTAAGTGAAATTTATATTAAATGTATTTATAATAAAATGTGTTTCATCTTTTTTTAAATGGGTTTAAGAAAGCTTCCGGCAAATAAAACATTGTTCTTGTTCCATATAAAATAGAAGAATGGTCTATTAGCATCGAATTCCATTGGCATACAACAAAGCATAATTTTCATGGCAGTGGCGGCAGCTGCTTCTGTTCCATCCTCAGTAACTTCAATGCTGGTTTTATGAAATATTTCTGAAACTCGAATGGGTTGTGTGGAATCCAAAATATTTCGCAAGTCTGCGGTTTCATGGAACACTTGTGTGACTCCCATCTAAAATGAAATTAAGAGTACGTTTACAGTTTAGAAGGAAAATTAATATTTTATTAGAAGTATAATCAATGGTATTTATAAAATTTGTGTTCCGCACATAAATTGTCTTGAATCGTCAGTGTTGTTTTCTACGTTCATTATTCATCGATTTTTTTTGTCCCTGTCAGCATTTTATAAATACAGTAAATGCAAGCAAATTAAAAGGAAAAATTTGAATAAAAAACTAATAAGAAACGAAAGATTTTGCCGCCAAGAAAACTAAGTTAATGAGAGGGAGTAAGGGTGAAAGTGCATAAAAGGCTTTTTGCCAGTCATCAGCTGGCTTCTTCGTAGAGGAACAAAGGAGTTTTAGGTTGACTTAGTTCGATTTCGGCTCTAGGCTCATTTGTTCTTTTCCGAAGACGCCAGCCGATGACTTAAGCCAATCTGAACATTGTTCTATGTATTCTCACCTTAATTTCATTAAGACAAATAACACTTTTATCGGTTAAAAAACTCTCTCTTCGATTAAATCAAATTTATTTATTATTTGAAGGATTCACAAATGCTCCAGAAAATAAGATATTCTTTTTATTCCAAATAAAATATAAGAATGGATGATTAGCAATATATTGTAGTGGCATGCAATAGGGTACAGGTTTCATTGCCGTTGCTGCATCTGCTTCAGTGCCTTCTTCATCTATGTGAATAAAGGTTTTGTGGAAAATTTTCGAGATTTTAAGGCATTGCGTGGATTCTAGAATTTTACTCAAATCGGCTGAGTTGCTAAAGGCTGTATTCAATCCCATCTGAAAAGAAATAAAGGAGATATTTATTATAGATCTCCCCTACTTTATTAAAGTTACCTTAATTATTTATGATTTTTTCATGTCATGACTATGTGTAAATGTAGCACTTAATTATTGTAAAGTTATAAAATCGTCATTCACTTGACGTAAAATGAATGAAAACTAATCATGAAATAATTCATCATAAATTAATAGTACGGTTAGATTTACAAAATCCACACGATCTCAAATGAGAATTACATAGCGTATATACGTCAAATAATAACCACTGGGCTTATAAATATGATTTACGTGTCGTATACGCTACGCTATGGAATTGACATTTGAAAAATAGTGGATTTTATAGTCTGAACGTGCTCTAATTTGTATGAAATAGCATGGTAGAAGAATACAGATAGTAGCATCGACACAGCTGCTGGGACAATGAGCTGTCAAACCAATTTTGGAATTGAACTTTTTGAATGAAAAATTATTCAAATTTGTAAAAATTCATAAAAAAGGCATATCATAAAAACCTCCAATTGACGTCGTGTAGGAAACCTTACACAAGTCTATTTATTTGTAAAAAAAACATTTACAAAAAACCTTTGATGCTTCTACCTGTATTATTCTACAATGTAAAATAGTTTTCCTTCAGGCTAGTTTACATATCGTGTAAGAGTCCTATGTACTGTCACTTTTTCCACCTTTGTGACGTTTATTTAAAAAATAAACATAATATAACTCCGACAATTTTATATATAAATTATGGTTTTACAAATGCTCCAGAGAATAAGATATTCCTTCTATCCCAAATGAAATAAAAGAATGGATGAGTAGCAATAAATTTCTTGGGTAAACGGCAGCATTTGGGTTTCATTGCCGTTGCAGCATCTGCCTCAGTGCCGTCTTCATCTATATGTATAAATGTTTTATGAAAAATATTAGAGATTTTAAGGCATTTTGATGTTTCTAAGATTTGACTCAAATCGGCTGACTGACTAAAGGCCTTATTTAATCCCATCTGAAAAGATATTTAAGATAGCATAATTATATGCATTACAGAATCGTAATTATAATACTTGAGGAAACTGAAGCAGCATTAAAAGCTTGCAGCATTGACAAACGTATTTATTTCGTGTTTTTAATATTCAAAACGGTAAAAGTTGCAAAAATAGTAAAAGCTGCTTATGTGTCCTCACCTTAAAGGTGGAAATACATAAAACGCTTATTTGACTGGCTTAAGTCATCGGCTGGAGTCTTCGAAAATGAACAAAGGAGCCTAGGGCTAAAATCGAACTAAGTCAACCTAAAACTTCTTTGTTCCTCTACGAAGAAGCCAGCGAAATAAGCGCTTTATGTATTCCCACCCTAAGTCATCGGCTGGCTTCTTCAAAACAAAGGAGCGTAGGGTTAACAAGTATAAATGGATATATGGACTGAAATTGAACTAAGTCAACCTAATGCTCCGTTGTTCTTTTACAAAGAAGCCAGCCGATGATTTCAGGTGAGGATACATGAGCAGCATGGCATTATGGCTAGGCATATTAATGTCAAATTATAAAGAAAAACGTGCGGCTCTGGCATCCTTTTATGATATGTCACAAAATATGACATGCGAAGAATTCAGGCTGCTTATGTACCCACACCTTTAGGCCTTTCAAAAGTTATTTTAAGAATAAGGTAAGAATACCTTAATTTGTAAACACGGCTCTCCTTTGAATTGTTCTACTATTTTTTGGAAAGGAACACAATAAAACGGAGGACTATCATGAAGATAGTTACAAAATTTCACAAATAATCAAAGAATTTAATAATCTATATGAAATGTTTAATTAAAATAGCTTTGACAACCTTTTTTCATAAACAATTATTTATTTAATTTTTGATAGAAGAAATTACATAACAAACATTTATACAACAAATACCTGAGATTACTTTGCATTTTAATTAATAATTTAATACAACCTCTATGTACAGTTATTCTTAAATATTTTTGGGTTCTACAAAAGCTCCAGCAAATAGTATATTTTTCTTATTCCAAATAAAATATAAAAATGGACAATCGGCTATAAATTGTCGAGGCATGCAACGTAATCTGGCTACAAATCCTGTAGCGGCAGCTGCTTCACATCCTTCTTCATTTACTTCAATAAAAGTTTTGTGGAAAATTTCCGAAACATAAAGTTCCTGTGGCGATTCTAGCATATTATTAAAATTAGCTGCTCCGAAAGCTGATTTAATTCCCATCTGGAAGAGACCACAAAGATAATGTAATTAGTGGAATCATATCGTGATTGTGACTATATGAAACACACACTAAGTGTATTGTGATTGGTCAATCCGGTGTCAATCGGGTAGAGATTTAATATGTAATCCTTCTTTAAGTTAGCCTTAAAACGGCGTGACCAATCAGTTACAGTTCAATTTGCACTATGGTACGGCACGGCGGAATAATGTGTTTCTCCAATCTGACCATGGTAGAAGAATACAGGTAGTAGACAATGAACTGTCAAACCAATTTTGAGACTAAATGTAGAATGAAAAATTATTCAGAATCGTTGATTTTGTTGAAAAAGCACCGATTGGTATCGTAGAAGAAAATATAAAAAATCTACTTATTTTTATTTTGACAAAAAAAAAAACATTTACAAATATTTGACATATCAATGTTCCCAAGCATTGAAGCATCTACCTGTATTCTTCTACCATAAATATAACGCAACTTCAAGTGTTGATCGTAAAGGTAAGAATACATAAAACGCTTTTTCGACTAGCTTCTTCGTAGAGGAGCAATAGGGGTTTTAGCTTTACTTAGTTCGATTTTGGCCCTACGCAACTTTGTTTCTTTTCCGAAGAAGCCAGTCGATGGCTTAAACCAGTCAGAAAAGAGTTTTATTTATTATCACCTTAAGAAATACTAAAGTCATTTAAAAATCCTAAAATGAATTAAAAAGTGGCAAACAGGACATAAAAACACTTTCACTAAATATTTTAAATTGCCAGCAATAAGACCAGAACTCAAATATTGCTAAAAATTAAAATAAATCAAATAAAAGATCAAGCAACCGTTACCCATGTTTATATTGGCCCTTGATCTGTTCCCATACTTTTTTAATTGTAGAACTTCAAGAAGAATGCATAGTCAAAATATCTTTGAGATTACTACTTTACAGCACGTTTACATATTAATGGGTTAACCCAGCGGGTTTGGATTAAAATTGTCGTATCCATTAGTTATTCTTCTGTGCTAACGTAAACATGACATTACCCAGAGTGTACGGAAAAAATTAAAATGTTAAAAACAGTGGTTCTTCCTTTTTCTGGCACAAATCAATATTTCAACAAATTCGGGTTTTCTCACTGTAGAAACAACCCTTTTTAATAAAAATTGTTATATATAAGATATACAATTGATTAAATACAAATTAGGACAAACAATCTGAAGTTCATATATTTATTTTTAGGAATATTTTTTCTTGCAGATAATTCATATGGGACTTCGCTTAGGCTGTGGCAAATGCTCCGGCAAATAAGATATTCCTTTTATTCCAAATAAAGTATATGAACGGATGATCAGCAATGAATACTGGTGGCATGCAGTAGGCTACAACTTTCATGGCTGTAGCTGCAGCAGCCTCGGTGCCTTTCTCATTTACAATAATTGAAGTTTTATGGAATATTTGAGAGATTTTAAGATCTTCGGAGGATTGTAAAATATTTCTCAAATCAGCTGCTTGACTAAAGGCTTTATTTATTCCCATCTGTAACGATACATAGATGAAAAAATATCGAGAAGGTAAAACGACAGACTTAATGGAAGTAAAATTATGTCGTTTATTTTTAATGCATTCAATGGAAATGTAAATTAAATATGATGCTTTAATATATATTTTTGAGTAAAAATATTTGAATCATCTTTTATGATGAGACTAATTTATTCGACATTTTTCAAAATGCATTTTTTTTGTCAAATTTATCATAACAGAGCAGTTTTATTTTGAGAAGGTAAAGTCATGTAAAGTCATATGTTTACAATTTTATCAAATTTATACATTTGACAACATCTCATTGTCAAAATCTATATTCAGAAATCTATTGTATACATACAAAATCAGAGATGAAAACTGTTTTTTATGCATTGAAACTTGGCAAGGTAAATTACAGAAAATGCAGAGCTGGTAATGCTAATTTGAAATGAGTTTACCTTTATTTCATTGTACCATGGTAAAACCACTAATTTTAAAAAAATGAGAAAAAATATTAAAAATGGAAACAACTTGTTGTACATAATTTTGAATGAGTCAGACAGAAAGCGGGCATAGCCTCCGGGCTGTATTTCAGTAGTTTTGCATGTATTTTGGTTGTATTTCTGCAGTTTTACGAAGCTATTCTACCTCCTTATTGTACCATGGGTAAAACCATGATACAGGTAGGTAGATTAACTTGGAATTAAATTTATTAAAGTTGACATTTGCAAAAAATAAAATATGTATTTAAGAGGTAGCTTTATTTTTTCCTGTTAGAGACCACGTTGCAATAAATACGTCTTCCAGTAATGTAATGTATAATTAAAGAGTACAAAAAGTATGGAATGCTGACATTTAAAATAGATTATAAATTATTTTGGGAACTATGGTCACATTTTAAAGTTCCCCGTCAAGTCCAACTTTGGTAATCAGCATTAATAGTGAAATCAATTATTGTCATTGACAAAATATGTCACACAATATGATATGTGAATACTTTAAATTGCTTTGTATCCACACCTTAAAGGTGAGAATACATTAAACGCTTTTTTTGTCTGTATTCTTTGTAGAGGAACAAAGGAGTTTTAGTTTGACGTAGTTCGAGTTTGTCCCTACGCTCCTTTGTTCTTTTCCGAAGAAGTCAGCCGATCACTTGAGCTAGTCAAAAAAGCATTTTATGTATTTTCACCTTAAAGGTGCAAGTACATAAAAAACTTGAAGTCATGGCTAGGCATATTAATGTTAAATTATAATGGAAAACGACGGTAGGATTTTAGTGCGGCTCTGTAATCCCTTTGTCAAATGTTACAAAATATGCCTAGTCAAGACTTCAAGCTTCTTATGTACTTGCACCCTAAAGGTGGTAATACATTAAGCGCTTATCTGGCTTAAGTGATCGGCTGGCTTCTTCTTAAATGAACAAAGGAGCCTAGGTCCAAAATTGAACTAAGTCAACCTAAAACTCCTTTGTTCATCTACGAAAAAGCCAGCCCATTACTTAAGCCAGCCAAATATGCGCTTTATGTATTTCCACCCTAACTGCATCATATTACGGGATTATTATTACTGATCTATATCAACAAGAACGTACACAATTGTTCTGTTCCAGAACTTACAAAAAACAAACATTTAATTACGATAACCGATTTTTACTTTATAACATAGAAACAAATGCAAAACTAGTAGATTCTTGCAGTTTTTTTGGAACAATAATAAAGATCTTTCGCCCAATAATCTGAAATGTAAACATAGTATTAACTAATCGTAGCATCATGATAGAAGAATAAAGGTAGTCACACCGACACATCTGCTGGGACAAAGAACTGTCAAACCAATTTTAATTAAATTTTTTTAATGAAAAATTTTTGAAATTTGTAAAAAAAAAATGAAATATGCATATCATGACGATCTCGACTCCGATTGGTGTCGTAAAAAATCTATATAGTCATGGCAGAAAAATACAGGTAGATGCATCAACGTTTGGGAGCATTGATATGTCAAAATTTTTTAAATTTCTTTTCAAATATAAGTAGATTTTTATGTTTTCTTCTACGACGTCATTCTGAGGTTATTATAATATGCATTTTTCAACAATTTTTACAAATTTAAATAATTTTTCATTCAACATTTTCAATTTCCAAATTGGTTTGACAGTTCATTGTCCCAGCAGCTGTGTCGACGCGTCTACCTATATTCTTCTACCATGTATATAGTTTTGAAAAAAAAAAAAAAAAAACATTTAAAAAATTTGATACATCAAAGTTCCCAAGCATTGATTCTTCTACCATAAGACAACCTATAAAGCATGGTAGAAGAATACAGGTAGGTGCATCAACGCTTGGGATCATTGATATGTCAAAAATTTTAAATGTCTTTTCAAATATAAGTAGATTTTTATATGTTTTCTTATACGACGTCATTCGGAGGTTATTATAATACAGGTTTTTCAACAATTTTTACAAATTTAAATAATTTTTCATTCAACCTTTTTAATTCAAAAATGGGTTGACAGTTCATTGTCCTATAAAGGAAAACGACGGCAGGAATCGAGTTCGGCTCTGACATCCCTTTTCCCAAGTTGTAATGTGCTTTTGGACACACTGGGCTACTCATATGCGTTACAAGAAAAATACTCGAGTTTTGGAAAAATCGTTTTTATTGCAAGATTCAATTCAAAATTAAAATACAAAAATACTTTCTTAAAAATAATTAATATTTTCATATCTACGCTTTCCTGAGATTCTTAATATTGCCCTGAAGTAGTATTTGAAATGTCAAATCTATTTTATGCTGAGATTTTTGGTGGCTTTACAAAGGCACCAGCAAAAAGAATGTTTTTCTTATTCCAAATAAAATACATGAACGCAGAATTGGCTACGAATTGAAACGGCATGCATCGCGCAAAGCACTCCATTCCTGTAGCAGCAGCTGCTTCACATCCCTCCTCATTGACTTCAATAAAAGTTTTGTGGAATATTTCGGAAACGCAAATTGCCTGGGCGGGTTCTAATAATTTGGCAAAATTAGCCTCCCTGAATGCGGCTTTGATTCCCATCTGGAAATAGGCGAAGAGAAACAACCGGTAACTCAAGTGATATGATTAATGAAGATTTTAGTTTTTAATTAAATTGAGACATTATTCCGTGCTTCGTTTGGGAACATTAATAGTATCAAGAAGATTAACGATACTAGGAAAATGTATCTACTTGGATTGAGTCTTCTGGCCACACAGACTTTGGACTCCTATTACAGGGCAAGGCTTCAAAATGTCATCATATTTTTGGAGAAGCTGTGCAGAGCGCAGAGTATATACAACAATCGACGTAAGATTATGAGTTAGTTCTATAATGCTATAATTAATTCGGAACAGCTCTAACTTAGCAAAAACTTCGATATTTTTGAATTTTTTTCCAGAGGTAGGTATTCTAAATATTTTTTTTTCTTGGGGAAACTATTTTTTCTTTGAGGGACGGACTCGGAAACCCAGATTTCTGTCCCGGGCTGGATTATGAAAATACCTATCCAACAAGTGGTCACATAATGGGGTAAGTGGTATTACCCAAAAAGGTATTAGCACAAATTGTAGCATTTTGGAATCATATATATAATGATTGGAGGTGACAGGTTTGGATAATGTATATATACTTTTTGGAAATGCTAAATTTCTTTGGGAAGTTATCAGAAAGAGTGGGTCAACATACCCATATACACGAGTATTGAAGAAAATCGCCAATTTTTTTACGCATGTATAAGGGTTATAATTATTCAAAGTGGAGGAAGATGAAAAGGTTTATAAGGGCGGTTGCAAGATTTCTTTCTTTCTTTATTCAGTTCATACTTAATACTAAAGCCTCCAAGGCCAATTAATTGATTTAGTTAATTGATTATTGATTGATTGATGATTGATTTAATTAACTAATTTAGAAGATTTTTCAAAAAAAAAAAATGGTTTTATGTGATTCTTTTTTTCCTCTTCGTCACTTTGTTAAAAAAGTTTTTGTTTTTCTGGGGAGAATATCCCATAAAAAAACAAACGTTGTTTTTATAAAAACAACAATAAAGGGATTAAGCCTGACCTTTGCAACAATGTTTAAAAGTGGAGAAGGCACCAAAAAGTGGTGCAACAATGTTTAAAAGTGGAGAAGGCACCAGGGGGTGGACTCAAAATGTCATATACAAGGTGTGAAATCGTAGGCATATTTCGTATGTTATGAGAGTTATAATTATTTAAAAATTGTACCCTTTTGTGCGGAGGTACCAGAAAGAGAAGACAGATATATTATATCTCCATAGTAGATCTTGTGTAGTATTAGTCCTCATGTTTCTTTATTCAAAATATTGATCCGTTGTGAGGATCTTTTGTGTCTGATCTTTTTTGTGTAGATATATTGCGATGGGGAGACAATAGGACTCTTATTTTACATATAATAATAGTTATTATTATTCAAAATGTTTCCCAGTTGTGAGGAAGTTTTAGAAGGAATGGGCCGATATATCACATCTTATTCAAATTTGACGCTTGTGGAGGAAGTACCAGAAGGTGTGAACCGGTATGTCCCATTTCCAAACCCTATCTTGTAATGGTTAAAATATTGGAATGTGCGAAATTTAAAGAGAATGCATATTTCGCATTTTATGAGCGTTTCAGATATTCCAAATTTTGGCCCTTTGTGGAGAAGGTATTCAAAGGATATTACCGATATTACCCTTTTCACATCAGGTCTTGTTTTGGTAGAAATTTTTCGGATGTATTTGGATGCATTTTATGAGCGTTTTGGTTATTCAAAATTTTGACCCTTTGTGTGGGAGGTACAAGAAGGAGTGGTCCTCTATACTCCATCTTTACACCATATTTTGTAATGGTAAAAATATTGGTATATGCGAAATTTGAACAGAATCTGCAGTACATTTCGCATTTTATGAGCGTTTTAGATATTCCAAATTGGGAGGCCTTTATGGTAAGGTACTAGAAGGAGTAGTCCGATCTTGTCCATTCCCACACTCGATCTTGCGGTAATGCAAATATCACGATTTGCAAAGTTTAAACAAAAGCAGATTATTGGAAAATTTTGACCTTTTGTGGGGTAGGTACCAGGAGTGGAAGGAGGAAGAGTTTGACAAAAAATATTACGATGTACCAAGTTTGAACCAAATCGGATACTCCCTTCGATAGTTATCGTGCGCACCAGCCAGACAGACGGACGAAAATTGCTAAATCGACACCAAATGTCCTAAAACGGATTAGGTCCAAAGAGACCTAGGGTCTAAAACCGTTATTTCGACTAGGTAAGTTTTGGCGATATATACCCTCTCTAGCCATAGGGCTGATGGTATAACTAGCCGTAAGGCTGAGGGTATAAAAATGTTGACTTCAACTATCGAGTAAATTATTATTAAAAAACACTTCATTCTATCAAATTGCATTTATGTTAATAGGAAAGGATTTTGATACTCAACTTCAACAACTGTAAAACATTGATTGATTTATTTGACTAAAATATCTTTATATTCTGGATAAAATCGTAATTTAATGAAATCGTAAATTTCTCAGTATTTGACTGTTTAAAAGCTAAGCCTGATCAATGTAAAAATGTAAAATCAAATCCTTTAACTTTTTATAATTCGTTTGCTACTCTTTGTTATTTTCAGGATGAAGCCGGTGGAATATTTTCTCCCCCCAACAATGGTCTAATCTACTTTGACTCAACAAATGCTAAGTTGGCAATTGCTCTGACCTTACTCAACGCCAACAATTTAAACAATATAATGGAATTATGCCCACCCAAATATGACAGGTACTTTAAGTTACAATTTTATCAATACTAAAATCACACGTATCTCTATGTTCATATAGGGAAGCACCATGAACACTCATTACCAAATTCAGGTCACAGCGACACAACAAACAATGACAAAGGGGTGGCAGTGAGTAATAACAGCGAAGCGATAAGATTGCAGGCAACATGACAAAATAATATATCTTGTACCCCCACACCATTTAGTTAAAAAAACACTTACCTCTTGCATTACTTTCGACAATTCAATGGAATATTCGATTTTGAATTTGGGAAATTTAACAATCATATCATTCATGGTCCTCAGTTGTTTATCCAAATCCAGCAGGTTGACACCCTTTAACTTGTCAGCCATTGCTTTGAGGCCATCCCTTTTCATGGGCAATAAAACAAACATACTCAAATCCGAATCCTTGTAGGGTATTTCCAAAGCTTCACATTCGTAGTCTGGCAAATAGCCGAACCTAAATTCGGATTGTTTACGCATAAACTGCACTTTAGTCGATTCAGTTTCATTTAGCCAGAAGTCATCTTCTTTGGTATCCTCTGGATCGAATTTCTCTTGCCACTCACCCTTAAAATGCAATGCATTTAAGAGTATTAAACGGGTGTCGGCATCCAAGGCATCGGCGGGAATTAAATCACTGATTTTACCAGCAGTTTTTTCCTCCACCCATTTGTTGATTTTATTGGCAGCCGCAACATTTTCGGCAAAATTAATGGACTCAGCAGCAGCATGGAACTTCTGCTTAGTTACGGCAGCGTATTCGGGTTTAATGGCATGACCTTCTTGAACATAAACTTTATTGGCCATTTTCACCAATTTACTATCCTCGTAGTTAGTCAAAACATGGTGGAAGCTATCGGCTACCTCTTCAGGCGAATTGGAAACAAATTTCATAACTTTGGCTATTTCATTGGCCGTATCACCCTGGGCTCCAGTAAAAGCCAAGGCCATACATGTTTGTATGGATAGGGGGGAAATTAAAACGTTTTCCTTATTTGTGGCAGCATTTAGTTTATCCAGCAGTTCGATGGTTAATTCAGCACCACCGCGAGCAAATTTCATATTGTTATCAGACATTGTTGGAAAATACGCGTCTGTTTTATTATATTGCAATTTTAAAGATTGACAAATGATGTCACTCAAAAATAAAAACACACAAAAACTGCCGACAAGCACTTCCGAAACAACTTTCTCCCAACACAGTTCCAAATGGAATGCTAAAGCCAAAATTCTGTTCAAACAACAATAGCTAAGTTATTTGGTTAATACTCACTCTTCTTTTCATGCAAGAGATTTGGAGGAGGAAGGCGAGGGCCAGCTGTTGTCACTGAATTGATGATTTAATATGCACACAATCCACACACAATCTCATAAGTCTATGTTCACATAGAAATTGTAGGCAAATTTTGTTTCTCGCAGAAATAGCGAAGAATTTCATTTCATTTCATTTATTTACCTTACAAAGAAATATAAATAAGCCCACAGGGCCCATAACTTATATTATCTATCTACAATACCCTAACATAATACAAATTCAATGATTAATTCAAACTTAACAAATAACATATTAAACCTAATAATTTATCTTAATAATTCACGAGAAGCTCGAACCCTACACCTCAATTCACCATCACCAACTAAACAATAGTCTAGTAGAGCAGTGAAAAAGTGTAGCAGAAACGAGCTAAAAATAAGAGATAACTATTTTATTACTCACAAAACAGAGTATAAATAGTAACTCACATTATACCCTACAAATAAAATTAAGAAGATAATATAGTGGCTCCCCAGCCCAAACAAAAAGAAAAGCAAAAAGAAAGACCCATAATAAACCGACGCAACCACTACAAAAACATAGCCTACATATTTAGGCGAAGGTATTCAATTACTTTAACCCTAAACAGATAATTGGTATGGGCAAAAGTACGTAAGGCCAAAGGAAGCTGATTCCACAATCTCACCGCCCTAACCACAAATGATCTCTCACCAATGGAGGACGAAAACCTTGGACACAACAATTGAGGATTTCGAGATGATCTACAAAACACAAAGTTGTCACGAAGAGGCGAGTCAAAATTGCACATAACACTGTAATGAAATTGAAGAATACGAAGATCAACGTAGCTGCTAAATGGCAATCCCAGGAGATCATTAACAAAACAAGAAACATGATCACCACGACGCAAGCCATACACATAACGAACAATCGAATTTACCGCCCTACGGATACGTTGCATTTGAGAAGAAGTAGTACCGGAGACTACCTCTAGACAATAATTTACCTGCGATAGCAGCAAGGATACAACCACTCTCTTCCTAACATGACAAGGCAAATAAGCATTAAGACAATACAGCCTCCGCAGCTGAAACCTTATACGACAAAGCAAGGAATCAATGTGTCTCTTAAAGTCCAACTTCCGATCAATTATAACACCAAGACATTTCATTTCATCAACAAATTTCACTAACACAGAACCCACAGTAATATTAAGAGAACCACCATTACCATGATCATTGAACAGCATAGCTTTAGTTTTATTCCAATTAATCATAAGGCCATTTAGCGAAATCCACGACGAAAGAGACAAAACAATAGAATTAACCAACCCTTCCAACCCAGCAATATCAGCCTCTCTGAAGAAAACATGAATATCATCTGCATACAAAAACAGACAACACCTGTCATCAACAACTGAGTGCACAATGTCATTAATGAACATAATAAATAACAACGGTCCCAGTACAGAACCTTGCGGGACTCCACATTGGACACTACAAACTTCAGACGAAACACCCAAATGAACAACAAACTGAGACCTACCTTCCAAATATGAAGCCATTAAACGACACGCAGAAGATGAAAAACCAAACTTAAACCTCAGCTTGTCAAGTAAAAGGGAATGGTTTATCAAATCAAAAGCCTTTGACAAGTCAAGGCCCAATAATAACCCAACATCAGATGAATTAAATACATCTCTGATCATGTCAGTAAGATATAATAAGTGCGTGGTCGTACTACATCGTCGCCGAAAACCAAACTGAGAACTACTCAATAGCCTACGATCATCAAGGAAGTCAACAATCGCTTCTTTAATAATATGCTCAACGATTTTTGACATAGCAGGTAGAATGCTAATGGGACGCAGATTCGGCAAATCAAATGATTCACCAGTTTTCGGCACAGGAACAATTCGTGCAACCTTCCACGCCCGAGGAAAAGTAGATGTCATAAAAATCGAGTTAACAAAATGCAGGAAATGACAGGAAATGTATGGAAATATAAGTTTAAAAAACTTTACTGGCACGCCATCAACCCCCACAGCTCCCGACTTAACTTTATTTAATGACCTTACAACATCAGAATAAAATATGCAATAAAACCGAAAAACATCATCTCCCACATGACCCTCACTATAAAGAGACTGACCACGCTCACCCACAAAACCAGGATTCCCACTGGAAAAATAATGATTAGCAGCATTGACATCAATTGGTGGAGCTTCATTATCACTACCCAAAACACCAAACGACTTTAGAGATTTCCACAGCTGATTATTATTCATACGACCAAAGAGATCATTATAGTACTTACGCCTCTCATTCCTCATCACAGCCTTACAACGATTCCTATACATACAATATATTATTCTATTACCCTCCATAGGTCGCTTGCGCCACTCAAAGTACGCAAGATCTCTAAACATCCGTGCCGATTTTACCACATCAGATTCCAACCATGCATCATTCCTGGGGTTGACCTTACGAACAGAAACAGGAACGAAAGACAATAGCGCGTTAAACAACAAATCAAATAGTGAAAGTTGACAATTCACATCAGAAGTGGAATATAAGGGGTTGAAGTCAAAATCGGATATGAAATTTAAATTGCTCGGCCAAAGTTACGATACTCAATAAATCTCTCCTCTGAAAATACAGGCAGGTTAAGCGAACCAAAAACAAAGGCATGGTGTGATATACCAGGACATCGACCCTGAGACGAGAAACCCAAGGACAAATTATCACTAGTAAGGCAAAAATCAATTAACGAGGTAGAGTTATGGGCCAAATCATAATGGGTAGGTTTCATGTTATGCACAATAGTTAGCCCCAATGATCTGCATAATCCTCTCATCGAAACAGAGTTCGAAGACACAAATAAATTACAGTTAAAATCACCAAGGACAATGATATTAGAGAAGCGATCAAACAAACTCTCATGTACATCACAGAAAGACTGAACATCGCCATGGGGAAGATATACTACCGCCACAAGCAAAACCAATGCCCCAATATTCAACTCAACACACACCGACTCACAAACACCAAAATTATTTGAACGAAAAACTACCTTATAAGGAATGCCACTACCAATATAGAGACATACCCCACCACCAACACGACCAACACGATCACTCCGCACCAGCTTATATCCTGGAACAACCAACGATTTCGATGAGACTGCAGAATTAAGCCAAGATTCAGTGACACCAAAAATGCTGATACCACTACCAACCAGCAAGGATCGAAGCTCATCAATTTTATTATTGAATCTCGATGGGCGAATACTTTGGCAGTTCAAGTGGCCATACGTTAGTTTACCAGACAAACCCTCAAATAAGGGTTTAAAAAAGTGAGCGTCATTAATTATGGGTCCCAGATTATCATCAAGTGACATCAAACCAAATAAAGGGGCTGGGGAGCAAAATTATGTAAATTCGATTTCGCATCTTATACTAAAAATTGAAAAATATAAATATATAAATAAAAAAAAAATAAATAATAAATAATAATATGAAAGATTATTTAGAACAAATAAGCAATAATTTGCATCAAGAAAACAATTAAATTGCCAATGAGATCAAAACAAAATTAATATTAACATTACATGACTACACTCCCAGCAGCATATCACCAACCAACGGAGCACCACCCGGTTGCAGAGGACAACTACGAACAAATTCAAGAAGCTCTTGTCGCTCAAAAATTGTTTTACTTCCATCAGCAAGTATTACCTCAACTTGAGGTTCATCACTATTTAACAACCTGAATTTCTTAATCTTCTTCTTCTTGAGCAGGCCTCTGCAGGCAAAGACAAGACTAGATGCCGATTTAACAAGATGATCATTTAAGTAGATACGGGACTCCAATAGACAATTCTCCATAACTTCTTTTAGGGTTACCTTCCCTCTTTTAACAAATCGGCGGATAAGGGAATCTCTTGTCTGAATAGAATTAAACTTCACCAAAACCGCTCTACGTTCAGATATGTAACAGCACTGCTGCATGTCGCCATGAGATAGTTGCAACCCACACAAATTAGCAACTTTAACAACAAAGCTCCTGAGGTCTTTAATATTTTCCGGCAAACCTCTTATAATGATATCAGCTCTGTTAAGCCTTCGCTGGAGCACATTGTTAAAAGACTCAAGCTCAGAAATCCTATCAGCAAGTTTCTTTTCTGCTAACAAAGCCGTACTTTTAACTTCAGAGACTGTCATCTTCAACTCAACTACAGCCTTTTTAAGCTCAACCACATCACGCTTTACCTCAGATATTTGAGCATTATAAAGATCAAACAGAGCATCAGTTTTGGTACGGAATTCAGACAGACATCTAGCCATATACGTGTCCATTTGTTGTTTCATAGACAAAATCAAGTTATCCTGCAGCTCTCGCAGAGCATCTGAATTCCCAACAAAATCACACGCAGCCACACCAACTGTCCCATCACCACCATTCAAAGAAGCATCAGCTGTGGCACCAACCCTAGATGCATCAACTGCAGTGTTCGCTTTTGTTCCGCGATCAACCACACCAGCGTCACCACTACCACCAGCAGCCCGAACACAGCACACACAAGTGTATCTGAGTTGCTTATTTATTTTAGCCTCAGCCTCAGAAATGCCAACGCAATCCAAATGGAAAAAATTTGCACAGCCTTTGCAACCAATTTTATATTTGGATTTGGCAATATGATCCTTACAAACATTACAGGTCAATAGCGACGGCATTTTCAGGATTACCTTGGCAGATGCAAATGAATAAAAAAAAAGAGCGCCAAACGAAAATGCACAGCAACAGGTTAAAAAGGTGAGAAGAAAAACCAACTCCACCAAAAGCCACAGCTCCAGACCTTCAAACACCAATATCCAAAAGAAATAGTCCAGTCAATTTGTAAAAATCTCCAATTTTAAATATTTAATTATTTTCTTGACAGAGCTCAAATTTAATGCTTGTTCATTGCAGGGATCTATAGTTCGTTTTTCCAAATTCCAAATTTATTCAAAATCTTTTTTTTTTTTAATCTTTACTAAATATTCTGATTCTTTTATGAAATTTCTATCATTATAATTTGTAACGGTTTTGAATAGAGTAATAAAGGGTTTAGCAAGTGAAAAAGAAATCGTCGTAAAAAATATTCAAAACCTGTCTCCCTCGAGAACTCTACATTATATTTTTGGTTTTGACCTTGGGCTTTGCCAACAATTTGTTTGTCGTTTTTGCCGGTATTTTTTGTTTAGTTGGGAGAACACAGTTGCTATCGCTTGGAGAGGCTACTTGTTGCTCTCCACGATGTATATACTTTGCACAGATGTATACATATGTTTGTACATTCTTTAAGTACCAATTTCTATTAAATTGATGCAATTATTTATAATATTTTATACATAAACAATATAAAACATTGGTATTTTATAGGTAAACAAATAACGCCCCACAATAGCAAACATGTTGCTACTTTTGGAATTTCAAGCAATTGATAAACAAAGGCTTATTAATTCGGTTGTGTCGTGGCTTAGTCTTAGGAAATATATGATGTGATCAAAGAGAGAACTGAGTTTATATTCATTTGTTGTGCGACTCAAATTAAAAAAAATCGATTTGAAAAGCCTAAATTCCTCAAAGCCTGAGTCGTTTTTTGTACAGGGTGAGATAAAAAACTGCAACAAAATCAAACGCCATAATTTTTACATTTATTTTTTTTTAATTTTATTTAATGAAAGCAAAAAATTTCGGAAATAGCATCAAATTTTAGAATAAATTTAGTTTTGTTCTAATTGGTCACCTTTGGCACGAATTATGGCCTTCAAACGGCCAATGAAACCGTCACACGCTGCCCGAATGTTGCTCTGCGGAATTTTGGTCCATTCCCGCGAAGCACTTGCTTGAGGTGATCGACACTTTGGTATTTTTTAGTGTAACCTTGCTTTCCAAAATACTCCAACAGTCCAACGCATTGGTATCCGGGGATTTTGGTGGCCATTGTGCGCTGAAAATAATGCGAGAAACCTCATTGCGATGGTGCTAAGGCCTGTTGGAATGACCAAGGTCTGCGCCCAAAATGTTTGCATGCCTAAGGCTTAAATACACCCTCCAGAATATTTTCGCCATAATATTCGGCATTTATTCTGATGCCACGGTCGATTAGTACGAGCGGAGAACCACCATCGGCTGTTATGGCGGCCCACATAATCACCATGGCCGGCGCTTAAGTTCTGGTGGCCAACCGAAGGTGGTGTACATTTTCAGCTGATCTCTTTGGCAAATAACACGATCATTTTGTTTGTTTACTGGACAACGAATGTTTTCTCATCGGAGAAAGCCAAATTCGGCAGTTCACCACTTTCTGCCCAGCGATGCATCTCTTTAGCTCTTTTGAGTCTATTTTCTTTCTGTTTTTCTTTGGTGTAAGTTCTTGCACTCATTTTTCAATATTTGCCAAATGGAATATTGCGTTTTGTTCAGCTCACTAGCCTTTTTTCGGCCACTGCAAAGCGTTTTCCGATCACGTTGCTTCTTTACTTTTCGAACCATTTCTGCTGATGTTGCTGTTTTCTTCTGTCCACTTCCTTGACGTCGAGCTATGCTGCCAGTATCACGGTAACAAGCGATGGTACGAGACACAAAAGATTTATTCACATTTAAATGCTGGAGTGTTCTAACGATAGCCACTTTTGGTTTTCCAGCAAAATATAAATAAATCACACTATCACGCCTGAAGTCCATCACGAATAATATTTTTTCTGGAAAATTCTCATCAAAATGCATTTTGCTGTCACTGGAATAGCTGTCACTGGAATAGCTGTCACTGGAATAATTTTAACAGTTGTCGGACGAGTGGCTTAGAAATGACAGCAGTTGGTTGCAGTTTTTTCATCTCACCTTGTATGCGGATCAAAAAAAAGTTTACCTATATTTTTACCGCATTCGCATTCGCACTTATTCATCCAATATCGAAACTTTTGGGCCTGTTTTGAAAAGTAGTTTTTTTTTTTCAACAAAAAAATTGAACAGTCAAATTTCAGATGAAACGGTTAGAAGATATGAAAAAATATCACAATCTAATAGACTTCATATTGAATGTGCAAACATCAGTCAAGAAAGGATTTGGAGACTAATATTTTTAAAACGTATAATAATAAAATGTTTATTATTTATTTATCTAACATTTCAAGCCATTTTACTATAAAGATAATCTGATTTTTACCCATTGTTCGCTAAAAACAATTGCAATTAGCAAACTGATGGAGTATAGTCATTAACTATGTACGGCGCTAATATTCACACTTTATATATTTTGCTTACAAATATCATTTCGCACTTTATTATAGAGATCTTAGCAATTATTATATGAAAAAAGAACATTTCCTTCAAACAATGTAAATAAGTGTGTGCTTTTTCAAAATTCACAAACCTTGGTAAATTTTAGTGGCTATGTGCAAATAGTAAATTGAAATACATTGTTTTCATAATCTCTTTCAAAATTACTTTATTGCTTTCATAATGATGTGTATTTTTCTTCTTTTGTGGATATAATATTAAAAAAAGGGATGAAATCGACCTAACCTAAGGCTTTTACCGATTCGATTATGGCTCTATAGTCTATGCCGGTCCCATTATTAAAGAAATAAATTGAAAAACTGATTAGAACAACCAATAAAGAATAAAATAAATAATAAATCAAAATAATTTTGTTATATAAATGATAAAATTTATTTTATTTTCGCTAATAAATTACTAAAAAATACATTATACAAAAGCAATCATTAACAACTAACAATTAACTATTTACATTAAAAGCATACATTAAAACAATAAATACGAATTTCTATAATACTATTCAAATACGAATGTCATGGACTCTCAATTTCACACGTTTGTTTATGCAGTCACTTATTCCGCAGCTGGAGCATTAACAAAGGCACCGGCAAACAAAATATTTTTCTTATTCCAAATCCAATAGAAGAATGGACGATCGGCAACAAATTGCAATGGCATCAACATCATACGAGTCATCATGATCATACCGGTGGCGGCAGCGGCCTCCGAGCCTTCTTCGTTGACTTCAATGGTGGCCTTGTGGAAGACCTTGGAAACACTCAAACCCTCAGGACTCTCTAACATATTGCTGAAATCGGCAACATCACTGAAGGCCTTTTGAATACCCATCTGAAAATATATTATGTACAAATGAAGTCATTTCAATATATTTTGTGTCAGCCATTTTTAAACAATAAATTTATTTATTGGTAAATGTTTAGTTTAAACAGTAGAACACTCTGGTATGTTCCCATTTATCAAGTGGTTGAATGAAGATAATGTCATAATAAAATAGCTTTGCTACCAGTTTTTGTAGCCTACGTGGATGTTTACCCAAGGTTTTTTTTTCGAAATGTTTGATTTGATAAGATATTGAAAACGTATTTATAGAACTTATGCAATCGCCACACATTTTTGAATGCATAAGGATATATTATATTTATACGAATCTAAATCATTCAACTTATTTTGACGGTGCAGCTTATTATGCATCCTTTTCTCGGTAATTCAAAAAATGATCTAGAGTATCCCACTACAGGAAAGAAAGCTAAATTACATTTGGAAATCTTTTTCGGGGCGCATAAACATTGCAAAACTTCCATGAGCGGACCCTTTTGGTCATCGTTGGCTACGTCTATATGTAGGCCAAAAGAGTAATGTCCTCAATAGGGAATTTAGAAGGAGTTGAATGGAGTGAGTATGTTAATTAACATTGCATAGCAACGGAGTTGTCATGTTTTTTTCATTCCTTTCCTTGCCCTCAATTAAACTCCTGACCCTAGCGACCATTCTATGATACATAAATTATCGGGGGGGGACAAGACTAATATTCTCCCAAACAATATGTTTGCCAAATAAACACCATTAAATTTTCGATCAAAACTCACCTCTTTCAATGCATCTGACAATTCAACGGAATAGTCAACCTTAAATTTAGGGAATTTCACCACAACTTCTTCGGTGCTCATTTTCTCAGCCAAATCCACCAAATTTACATCTTTGAGTTTCTGAGCCAAATCCTTGAGACCTTCACGTTCCTGGGGCAACATTACAAACATACTCAAATCCGAGTCCTTATAGGGCATTTCCAAAGCGGTGCAATTGTATTCCTCGAAATAGCCATAACCGAATTTTTCCTTTTGATTCATATACTTGACCTTGACAGATTCTTCTTCGGCAATCCAGAAATCATCTTCTTCGGTTTGGCTTTCATCGAATTTCTTCTCCCACTCACCCTTGAAGTGCATTGCATTCAAGAGGACCATACGTGTGGTATCATCAAAACAATCGGGTGTGATCAGCTCGGTAATCTTTCCAGCGGTTTTTTCTTCAACCCAGGTGTTAATTTTCTGTGCGGCAGCTTCATTTTCAGCAAAGTTAACGGTATCAGCTTCGGCATGGTAATGTTCCTTGGTTGCAGCAGCGTAGGCTTCCTTGATTTCTTGTCCTTCCTGAACATAGATTTTATTGGCAATTTTCAATAATTCACTATCCTTGTATTTCTCCAAAACAAATTGGAAGGTTTCCGCCACTTCAGGTGGGAAATTTGAAACATATTTCAAGGCGGTAGCAATTTCATCGGCAGTTTCATCCTTAGCACCGGCAAAGGCTAAAGCTAAACAGGTTTGCACCGAAAAGGGGGATACAATAATATTTTCCTTTGTTGTAGCAGCTTTCAGCTTTTCAAATAGTTCAACGGTGAATTGGGCACCACCACGAGCAAATTGTAAATTGAAATCGAACATTTTGGATGATTTATACTTGTTTTGATCGTTTTAAACTTGAATACAACTTTTCTCGGCCACAGTCAGCTATGGAATGCCTTAATATATTTTCTACCTTTTAAGTAAAAGTTACTCTTTCGTTAAACGCCAAAAATGTGTTTTCATATGGTGGAGCTGTCATGAGTCATTTTATTGGTTGTTTATGTCGGCCTTTTTTGAACAACAACAATTTCGCTGTAAGAATTCTCACGAAATGTTTGGCTCATCGATATTGGGGAGCTCTTTTTTATGCTATATTTTTGGCTCTCTCTAGTACACTCACTTTCTCTCATTTTTGGAGGGGATTTACGGGCGGAATTCTCTTAACATTTATTTGTTTGGCCGAAGAAATATTTAACACATAATCTATAGATTGTTTTCAAAAGAATTGATTATCTTATCTTACCAGAAGGAATTTGAAACTATAGAATAAACGTATGGCGGCTTTCATACTCTTCTAATACCATTCAAAATTATCAATATTCTGTTGTTTAACCATCATATGAACAATATTTTAAAATAAATGATTACTAAAAAGTGTGCATTAATCTTTTTGATTATTATCGTAAATACCATGGCTCATAGCCTACAAACAGATCGCACAGAAAGCCCAACAGAGTTCATAAAAAAAAATATATATATATAAAGAAAGTACCTATGAATGAAAATTGTATGAAGCAATTGTTTTATAATAATTTAATTGAGGTCCATGTTCGTTTTTAATATCTAAGGTTTGCAGAGCACAAAAGCATTTTTTAAAGAACTTTGCTCATTTGAAGAAAAACTGCTATTATGAAGTTTTAAGTTCCCTTATACCCAGCATTGAAATTTGGATTAGAAATTGTTTCGTAGAGATTCATTAAATATTTACAGGTTACTAAAAAACTCTTAAAATGTAGCAGTTTCATTAAAATTTAATATAAATGTAGTATATAAGATTGCGAAACAAATTTCGACTTTTATTTCGACATTTTACTAATTGATAGTCAAGAGGAATATTGAAAAAAAAGATTAAATGTTATTCTCTAACATCCTCTTTCAGTCTTTGGTAACAATTATTTATGTTAACTTATGAGGCACCCTGTTATTTCATGATATACACATTTCAACAAATGGCAATGCCATAAGTTAACCCAGCCTACAAAATGCAAGTCAACAGAGTTCAGTTATTGTTTGTCGAGAAGAACAAAATTTGACTATATGACGTAGGTGTCCAGACAATTGCAAAAACAACAGATTTCGAAGTTCAAAAGAGAACAATAAAAATTGACACAAATTATTTCCTCTAGCCTGTTTAAGGAAATCATTCATGTGATAGGAATCTTCTTTTTAAGTATAGTTTATATGAAAACTGCAATGTCCTTAAAAACACAGACAATATTTTGTTTGATATTCGAAATTAATGGCACTGTTCTTGAAATTTCAATCACGTGATTCGCTCTATATTCGTTGTTCGACCATTAATTATTAAATATCTACATGATTCCCCACACAAAATTTTCTGAGCGAACAAATATTTTGGCTCTGTTCAGTTCAAATCACTCTCAGAACTGCGATGAAATGTGTGCCATCCCTAACAAATTAGAGCATTTATCGAAAAAATAAATTATGACATTTCAAAATTCAAAATAGAAAAATTTTATGAAATTTTAAATTTTTCAGGAAGACTGAAAATTATGAATTATGGTAGAATACAGGTCAAAAATGTTCACATGTTTTTTCAAACATTAGTATATTTTTATATGTTTTCTTATACGACGTCATTCGGATGTTATTATAATTCGCGTTTTTTTTTTAAATTTTTACAAATTTAGTTTCTCCTGCCCTCGTTTTTAAAATATTCGAATCAGACTCCCAATTAGACGAAGCTGACAAATCATGTTCCCAGCTGAGAAAGTCTATTTTCGCAACCAGCTACTATAAATCCTATGCTTTTGAGAATAAACCCATGGAAAGAATCACAGCACTTTTCAATAGAAATGTACTTGAAACATTGAGTACAGATCTATCGGGTTTATTCTCTGAAATTGAGCAAAGCGAGCTTGAGGCCACTAAAAAGTTTTATGCTGGTATAATTCCGATCGTTGAACTTTGTTTCAATAATAACTTAAACATAGACCGACATGAGGTACTTGCAATTATTAATAACTCCATTGATTTCTTGCAGTTTGTTGAGTGCGGCAACTTGCCATACATGCTCCAGTTATCTTTATCAACGCTATTGTCTCTGTTGATGGAGCATGAAAATATTTTACCGAAAAACTGCCTCAATGATGGCCTAGAAAGTGATTTTGTGGACATCAGGAAACGTTGCGGTGGAAGACCAACTTTTCGTGATCTAATTAATGTCAAGTCAAGGTCTGATTGCATTATTGCACTAACCGGGTCGCTTGATCGCACACTGTTTTGGTCAGATAAGTGTTTCAAATCGTAGGTTAGAAATACCTAGATTTTTTCCGATTTTTCGTCTAATACAACAAAACTGTTTGTCTTCCATTCATTACTAAGTCCGTTTATAATGTTTATAATGTTCAAAGGGTTTATGTTCAGTGTTTTTTGACAAAATAGTGCTTGCATTGCATACTGGTACTGGTTTCTTTGGTAATAGTGAGTTGTATATAAACTATTTAATGTTTGTTAACTATTTTATCTATTATTAAGTTGTTTAAGATGTTGTTCTTGTTCGTAGTGTATATAAAGTTATTTAGTTTGTAGTTATATTTTATATATTTTATTCGTTATCAGTGGTTGTTGTTCTTATTTTATTTGAATTGAATTTTTTGAATTGAATTTTTTATAGTTGTAGGTATTGTGTATTGTAGTAGTTGTTGTTGTTCTTGTCATTTTTTAAAGTTATTTATATTGTAGTTTCTTTTTTTTTTCATTTTTTTAATATATTTTTTTTAGTTGTAGATGGGGGTCAAAGGGAAAGTGATGCGAATACAATAAGTTTGTACATAAAGCCTCTCCTTTCCAAACTGTCAACCTCGCCCACCCATGGTGGCCCCTGTTAGCGCAGAAGAGGCAGTGGCAACTTACACTGCCTTTACACGGTGACATTTTTTAACCATGCCATTTTTTTTTTGTTGGTAAAAGGTGTAGAGAGACAAGGATAGAAGAAAAAATGGCACGATAAGCCACCGCACAGGGTTATATGCAATTTTCTTTGCATTTCTCTTTTTGCTTCTTCCGAATTTTTTATGATTTTGACATTTCATATCGTTTCTATATTGTAATTTTTGATGCGTTTCTTTTATTGTGATTTTATGTTTTTAGTGATTGAATTGTATAGTGAATTATATGAAAATTAATTGGAAGTATTAAAAAGTAAAAAAAAGAAATTTAAAATAAAAGTTAATAATGCAGTATTTAACACCTCAATAACTTTTTCCATAATTTCTTCTTTAGATTCACACATTTAATTTTAAATCACTTCTTTATAAATATCTGTTACAAACAATTAGCTCTATACGAAATACTGAATAAAATAAAATGTCAGAAAAAATGCCAAGCACTATTATCGTAAAATGCCACCGTGTAAAGGCGCGAAGATTTACGCAGAAATTTTAAAAGAGAATTGATAAAAATGCCAGCTAAAAATTGCACCGTGTAAAGGCAGTGTTAGTACTTAGTTATCTTGAATACAGCTCTGTGTGTTCTGTCTTGCGATGTAGCTGTCAGTCTGACATACATACAACTCTAACAACCCTCTTTTTTTGTTTTTTGTTTATTATTTTAATTTTGCGTAATGAACATTGTTCCGAGAAGTAAGATTGTTGCAGATATCTTTGGAATTAAAAATTATTGATACAATTATAAAATAAATACAATGTTGCGAAGACGAAAGAAAAACAATCAACTATTTGTGTGGTGAAGGAGAACGAACAGAGCTTGATGGAATAGTTAATAAACGTTGTCATCGTTTAGGTATTTTCCCAGAAAAACGTCAGTCATATTCATAGAAAGAAAACCAAAAACAAAGAATTCTTTTTGTAAACAATAAAATAAAAGATAAGAATTAATATCAAGTGGCTTGTCATAATACAAAGCAAAGCAATACAAAAAGACACCACATTGCGATAAATTAGAACGTGAAGAACAACAACAAAATAGTTCAAGGAACTCATCGTATTTGTTTGGGGAATCCATTGATAAACATCATCATTCCCCCTACCGTCATAGCTAGCACCAGTAATATAGCTTGCTTACGTTGCTCTTCAGATTTCTAGCAAAAATTGCAGCATCAGCACCAGACCGCCATTCCGCAAGAACGTTAAAAAACGTCAGCAGCATGCGAAGTATCGAAGGAAAAGTTGTCATTTTGGGCTCCAGAGGTAATATACGAGATAACAATTACTGCTTAATATGCCAGACGACTATAACCATCTGTTTGGCTTAATTAAATTTAATGATGCATTCATCTTCTATTATTCGTATCATTGATGCAGTACAAATTTGTTGATTATTAAATAATTATATGGGGCATTGAAAGTGGTTGAACTTAAATGTGTTTTGTAACGTTGTCCATTGCTTTCGCCGTCGTCGTCTTCGTCGTTGTTGTTGGTGTGATTTGTTTTCACACAAACAAAAAATCGATAAGGTCGCGGCCAGCCATATGCCGTAGGCATAAAATAACGACCTTGGAGGAAACCTCTTGATGTTTTCGTTTGGTGGGAGAAACTTCTAGTTTTTTCTTGATACATATTTACATGTATTTATTTTTTGCAAATTTGTTTTTGTAAGTATTTGCATTACAATGTCACGACTAGCTTCTCCAAGGTCGTGTAACGTACGCATATTTAGTTTTTTTGTTTGGTAAATAATCCAGTTTACTTTAAATTGGTAGTAAACATAACTATCAGGTATTTAGACAAAAACTATGGTAGCACTATGCGGCAACAGTTTGGAAGTATGGAGAATACTAGGTCTGTTGTTTTCCCTTAGAACCGCAACCGTTTTTATGAGAAGCTTGGGTGTTATATTGGTAGTTATCGAAATCATATCATCATCGACACAGCTACTGGTACAAAACCAATTTTGGAATTGAAAATGTTGAATGAAAAAATGTTTAAATTTGTAAAAATTGCTAAAAAAAACGCGAATGACATATAAAAATCTAATTATATTTGAAAAATATTTAAATGTTTTTGACATTTTGTTTGACATCAATGCTCCCAAGCGTTGATGCATCTACCTGTATTCTTCTGTCATGTGCTGGATACAGCGCTCACGCACTGACGTGTAAGAAAGCATCACCATGACCTAAAGATGGAGGTGCCACGATATAAGGGAGAGGCTTGTTAATCAGTTACCCTGAAAATGCTACAAAAAGTTATGCAAAAATATATTGGGTTTTATACACTCTGCTATTTCGCAAATACAATTCTGACCATTTTTAATAAGAAAAACGAATTTTATTCTTAGCCTTTCAACGTGGAAATCTTAATCAAAATTGTTCTTTCTGCCTATTTGTTTTCCTGTTGGTAGGTCGCGAACATCTTATTTGCTATCTCAATTATGACTGATTGCGTAATTCTAATCAGTATTCAAACAATGTCTGCTACTGCAAATTGTTTGTTTTGGTTCCGAAATAATCAAAATAAACAAAACTACCTCAATTTAACGCACTCACTGTCTCTAGTGGTATAGTGAGAAAATACTAACAGAGCAAAGGCTGAACAATTTTATACTGACTCCAAGTAAAAACACACAATAAAATTCGATATAAATTGTTCTTATATACAGGGTGAGATAAAAAACTGCAACAAAGTCAAAAGCCAAAATGTTTACATTTTTTTCAAATTTTATTATATGAAAGCAAAAAATGTCAGAAATGGCTTTAAATTTTAGAATTATTTTAGATTTGTTCAAATTGGTCATCTTTGGAACGAATTATGGCCATTAAACGACCAATGAAATCGTCACACGCTGTCCGAATGTTACTCTGCGGTATTTAGGCCCATTCCCGGCGAAGCTCTTGCTTAAGGTGATCGACACTTTGGTATTTTTTAGTGCCAACCTTGCTTTCTAAAATATTCTAGGCACAATAGTCCAACGGATTGATATCCGGAGATTGTGGTGGCCTTTGTGGGCTGGAAATGAAGGGAGGAACCTCATTTGGTACCCATTCTCGGGTGCCGCGTGCTGAGAGCGATGGTGCTGAGCCCTGTTGGAATGACCAAGGTCTGCGGCCAATATGTTTGCGTGCCCAATGCTTTAATACATTCTCCAGAATAATTTCGCGATAACATTCGGCATTCTTTCTGTTGCCATGGTCGATTAATACGAGCGGAGAGCGACCATCGGCGGCCCACACCATCACCATAGCCGGCGCTTCGTTTCTTGTGGCCAACCGAATGTGCACATTTTCAACTGACCTCTTTGGCAAGTAAACACGATCATTTTGTTTGATTACAAACTGCTGGACAACGAATGTTTTCTCATCGGAGAAAATCAAATTCGGCAGTTCACCACTTTCGGGCAAGCAAAGCAACTCTTTAGCTATTTTGAGTCTATTTTCTTTCCGTTGCGGTGTAAGTTCTTGCACTTTTTGGAATTTTAATGCTTTAACCCGAGCTCATTTTCAATATTTGCCGAATGAATTATTGTGATATGTTCAGCTCACGAGCCATTTTCGGCCACTGCGAAGCGTGTTTCGATCAAGTGGCTACTTTACTTTTCGAACCATTTCTGCTGATGTTGCTGTTTTCTTCCGTCCACTTCTTTGACCAGTATCACGGTAACGAGCGATGGTACGAGACACAAAAGATTTATTCACATCTAAATGCTGGAGTGCTCTAACGATAGCCACTTGTGGTTTTCCAGTCAAATAAAAAGAAATCACACTATCACACTTGAATTCCATCACGAATGACTTTTTTTCTGGAAAATTCTCGACAAAATTCTTTTGTACGCTTGTAAACAATATAATGAGCTGTCACTGGAATAATTTTAACAGCTGTAGGACGAGTGCCTTAGAAATGACAGCAGTCTGAAGTTGGTTGCAGTTTTTTCATCTCAACCTGTATCTTTCTGATCTACATTTTTTATGATTTCCATCGCAATAAATTCTTTAATTTGATTATTATATACATTTCGATTTTAGGTTTGAGTATAAAATCAATGGCTTGGACGACCTTTCTTCATCTTATTCTTTTCTCCTTTTTTTGCAGGTGTTGGAAAATCTTGCCTCGTTACAAAATACATTAAAAACACATTACACAAAGACATCGAACATGCCAGTGCAGCATCGTTCTTCACATGCAAGGTTATACTGGAAGATGCTAAAGTAAAATTACAAGTGAGTCAAGTCAAGGTCCTTTTACAGAAACTTTAAAAAAAAATAATTATTTTCTACTGTTTTCAGATTTGGGACACTGCGGGCCAGGAACGTTTTAAGGCGGTTGCTCCCATGTATTATCGTAATGCCAATGCTGCCATATTAGTTTTTGATTTATCACAATATCGTACATTCAAAGAAATCAAATCATGGATCCATGAGTTGCATCGCAACATACAGGATCCGTTGATATTGACATTGGTGGGCAATAAATTGGATTTACATGCTGAACGGGCGGTATCGCGTGAAGAGGCATTGCTGTTTGCCAATTCAATTGGCGCCACATATTTCGAAACTTCGGCCGAGACAGATCAGGGATTGGAACAGGTTTTTCTCAGCACTGCCCTGGGTTTGGTGCGTTTGGCACGTGAAGGAAAATGCCGCTCGTTGCGACAATTCGACTCATGTGATTCCATATCCACCTATACCAATAACAATACCGCCTTTAGTTATTCCACCCAAGCTTTAATGAACGGCTCAATAATTCATTTGCCATCAATACCCATGGGAATACCGGTAGATGGTGAGGATGTGAAAACAACAGATCAAGGACGACTTGAGACACCCTCCTGGAGCATAGAACACATAGCATTGGGTGAGGTTGAACCCGTCAATTGGTGTTGTTAGATATGTTGGTGATGTGGGATGCCATCGGGCAATGATTTTTGAAAACAAATTGTGATTTATTGAAAGAAACAACAAAACAAGCAAAATATTTAAGAAAACAGGATATTATTTTAAATGGGCAAAAGAAAAGCAAACGACAACAAATCCGTATCCAAATATGTATTTACATTTGCAATATAATAATGCCTCTATATACTTTACATTTACTAACCTTTGATGCTTTTGACCAAAAACAAACTCACCCAACGAATTTTTTTTTATTTAGAATGCAAAACGTGTTTTAATTTCGTTACGAACTGAATGTATATTCGTTTTGAATATTCTCAAATTTATCCCAGAATAATTCATAATTATAATGAATATAATAATAATTAACAACACATGTACAAACTTAAATCAGAATGGAGATTTTGTTGTGTTTTCCTTTCCTTTCATTTCATTTTAATTTTCAGTTCATTAAGAAAACATATTATACGTCAAATGTTCATAATTTTTAGTTATAAGCAATGATTGAAAATCATTTTATATCCTCTTTGTATTCGTCGTATCTCAAAACGGTTATGTTATTCTTTTTTTTATTATAATATTGATATTATATAATAGGCCAGTTTATTTTTAATATTAAATCTTTATGTATGTACAATGAAAACCAAAAAAAGCAGAAAATATTTTATTTTTCTCTAAATAAAATTATAAAATACCTACAGCAAAATTAAATGTATTTTTATGAAAAATCTGAAAAAAAATGTCTTCTTCTTATGGAAAGTTAGTACTAAACATCTTGATTCTATAGAAGCTGAGACGTCTGTCTGTGTAAAGGTATTCTATATGAATGCCGTGTAAAGGATTGTGTTTAGGATGCCTGTGTAATAGGTCTTAGGAGACCTGAGTAAATGTTTTCTAGCTATAAAGTTGGTCATCTGTATATAGAAGATGAGTGTATAAGCTTATATATTTATAGATGATCTTTTACATGACATATCTATAGAAGAACTATGTACAATTCTTCTATAGATTGAAGGTCTGTATTAAATTATAGATTTTAGAAGATCTGTGTAAATTTTCCTGCGTCCAAAGAAGATTTGTTCTTACAGTTTTCTATCTATAGACGATATGAGTTAAACATATTTTATTTTAAGAATATAAGTGCATAAAAAGATTTATTTATGAGGTCTATAAAAGAAACATGTAAAATGTCTTAAAGGAGGCACCGTGGAAGGTCTTGAACATATCGTTTCTGTAGCGGCTTGAACGTGATTTATGAATAAGTTAAGGATAATAAAGGGATAATCAATTACACATTACGACAATATTCGACCGGGGTCGATTATATGTGTAAAGTTTATATTGGGAATTTATGTGAATGATATGACTTCGATAGAATTATATTAAAACCCTACACCACTTTGCTCCACATAACAATTAAAAGTTTTTATGGGAAAATTCAATCATACACGCTATAATTATAATTTAAAGTTCAAAGGACTAAATATACCGAAGGATTTGTATCTTTTAAATTCGGACTTGTATTGCCCATTTGGTGCACAAATAATTTGAAATCGGATAAAATTATATATGGGAGCCTTATCCAAATCTGAACCGATCTCGATAAAACTTGGCAAAGATATTTCTGAACTGCATTTGATATATTTCCCTGAATACCGTTGTTACGGAGTGCATTTTACAGCTGTCGGACGTAGATAAATATGGGAGCTATATCTAAATTTTTACCGATTATCTCCAATTTTAAAAGGGTTCGTCCTTGGGTCAAACAAATGATTTGTGCAAAATTTCATCTGGATCGGGCAATAAATGCAATGTTTTAAAAATAAATGGACAGACGGACGGACGGACAGACATGCATAAATCGACTCAGAATGTGATTCTATGGTCACCTTCGGTACGAATTATGCGCTTCAAACGGCCAACGAAACTGTCACACGCTGCCCGAATGTTGGTCTGCGGTATTTTGGCCCATTCCCGGCGAAGCACTTGCTTGAGGTGATCGACACTTTGGTAATTTTTAGTGCAAACCTTGCTTTCCAAATACTCCAGACACAATAGTCCAACGGTTTGGTACCCGGAGATTTTGATCGACTTTGTGGCCTGGAATTGAAGCGAGGAAACTCATTTTGTAACCATTCTTGGATGGCGCGTGCTGAGTGCGATGGCGCTGAGTCCTGTTGGAATGTCCAAGGTCTGCGGCCAATTTTGCGTGACCAAGTTTTTAATACACGCTCCAGAATATTTTTGGGATGGTATTAGGCATTTATTCTGATCTCACGGTCGATTAATACAAGCGGAGAGCGACCACACCATCGAAATGGCCGGCGCTTGAGTTCTGGTGGCCAACCGAAGGTGTGCATTTTCTGCTGGACTGCTGGACAACGAGTGGTTTCTCATCGGAGTACTGGAGTCACTTGTGGTTTTCCAGCCAAATCTAAATAAATCACACTATCACCCTCGAATTCCATCACAAACAACTCTTTTTCTGAAAAATTCTCACCAAAATGTTTTTGTACGTTTGTAAACAATATAATGAGCTGTCACTGGAATAATTTTAACAGCTGTCGGACGAGTGGCTTAGAAATGACAGCAGTCTGTAGTTGAATGCAGTTTTTCATTTCACCTTGTATGTGGGAGCTATAGCTATATCTGAACCGATTTTGATGTACTTGCTTCTAGACTGCATTCGGTGGGATGTTACAACATTCAGGTCCTTTGAACTTATAATGGCAGCTATATCTAAATCTGATCCGATTATCACAAATTTCAATAGGGTTCGTCCTTCAAATATTTTTTTTGGAAAATTTCATCTCAATCGGATCATAAAAGCGACCTGCATTTTGTTCACAATAATACATGGACGGACGGATGAACGGACTGACATGTATAAATCGACTCAAAAAGTGATTCTATGAAATTCATCAAAAGTAACGATGGGTCTATCTCCTTTCCCTCTCCATGTTACAAACAAACGCAGAAAGACATAATACCCTTACCACTATGTGGTGTAGGGTATAAAAACAATGTTTGGGGGTATAAAAAAAGACACCTACCCACACCAACTTACGGCATTCTTATTTCTTATATATGGTTTTTCTTTTGTTTTCCTTTTTTGGAGTTGACCATTGAAACTCCCCTGCTTTAACTCCCTTCCCAAACCCTCCCCACCTTTACAATATTTAAGCAATACAATTATGTCGACATTATAACCCACATAACAAAACAACAAAGGAAAAGTTTACGCATCACAAAAGTAAAGTCCTTGTCGAGGCGGAAATACGGAACAAAAAAAAAGCCCCAAGTACGAAGCCCCTTCCTTTTGCAGCGAAAGGAAAACAATGATGTGGCATGTTTAAGGATTAGTAACCATAAATCTAATTTATGGCCATTGAATGGAGAGAAGGTTAAACGGCCAAACGTAGTTACTTAGCCACTGATAGCCACCCCATAACAATGAAAGGGACAAAAGGCAAAAAGTGGGAGAACTAATACAAATACTCCAGTATGCTGACAACGTTACATTCCTTTATGATGGCTGGCAAAACAATGCGGGGTAAGCCAACATTTTCTGGTGTTGTGGGGGAGGGGAGGTTCAAAGGTCAGGCTATTTTGTAATATTTTATTATGCCATAATAAGGATACTCTTATGATATGTAAAGACAATGTGAGAGGGAAAAACAATTCCTTGACCATGTTATGGCCTAAAGCACTGGATGTGGGTACAATGGAATTCCAAAAAAACAGTTTCAAATATTCCTCAGCACTCAAGCCAACCTCAAACATTTTCATTCTTGTCTAGACTGTCTTGCCGCATACCATCTGCCCCCTTCTCTTCCATCGAGAGTATGATTCTCTGTTGAACGGAAGTGCAATCATTTCTTGTTTGTTGTTTTCCTGTTTTGTGGTTTTGTTTTGTTTATAACCATTTTTTGCCCATTTTTTTGTTACAATCAATGGGAAAAATTATAGCAGTGCTTATCGCATATAAATCTAAAACAGAAGACTTCGATACCAAGATACCAAACCAACTAGTTTGCCAAAGTATTTTTATAGCCTCCACCATAGTATGGAGGGTATATTAAGTTTGTCATTCCGTTTGTAACACCTCATTACATTACATACATTTTAGAACCCACAAAGTATATATTCTTGATCAGCATAAAATTCTATATAGAATTAGCGATGTCCGTCCGTTTATCCGCCTGTGGAAATCACTCTAGATTCCGAACGAATTGAAGTAGGTTGATAAAATTTTACTCAAATGTATGTTATGTCTGCAGGACTTTTGGTATTGAAAATGGGACCAATGGGTCCATTTAGGTCCACGTTTTGGTATAGCCCACATATAACGGTACATCTCGATATTCGGTATTTTGATGATTTTAGCGACATTATTCGCCGGAATTGTTTCAAAGTTGGTATTTGATGTTCGTAATGGATGCTACATCCTGTGACGGGAGATTGTCTGTGCAGGTCCACGTCTTCGTGTAGCCGCCATAAAACGGTGCCTCGCAATATCCGGTATTTTGAAGATTTAAGAGACATTATTCACCGGAATTGTTTCAAATTTGGTACATGAAGTTCTTAATGGATACTGCAGCCTATGCCAGAAAATTGTCTGTGCAGGTCCAAGTCTTCGTCTAGTCCCCATATTTCACCACCTCTCGATATTCGGTATTATGATGATTTAAGCGACATTATTCACCGGAATTGTTTCAAATTTGGTATTTGAAGTTCTTAATTTATACTGCAGCCTATGCCAGAAAATTGTCTGTGCAGGTCCAAGTCTTCGTATAGTCCCCATATAACACCACCTCCCGATATTCGGTATTATGATGATTTAAGCGACATTATCCACCGGAATTGTTTCAAATTTGGTATTTAAAGTTCGAAAGGGATACTATAGCCTATGCCAGAAAATTGTCTGTGTAGGTCCAAGTCTTCGTATAGTCCCCATATAACACCACCTCCCGATATTCGGTATTATGATGATTTAAGCGACATTATCCACCGGAATTGTTTCAAATTTGGTATTTGAAGTTCTTAATGGATACTGCAGCCTATGCCAGAAAATTGTCTGTGCAGGTCCAAGTCTTCGTATAGTCCCCATATAACACCACCACCCGATATTCGGTATTATGATGATTTAAGCGACATTATCCACTGGAATTGTTTCAAATTTGGTATTTGAAGTTCGTAATGAATACTACAGCCTATGACAGAAAATTGGCTGTGCAGGTTCACGTCTTCGTATAGCCTTCATATAACTGTACCTCCCGATATTCGGTACTTTGTTGATTTTAGCGACATTATTCACCGGAATTATTACAAATTTGGTATTTGGTGTTCGTAGTGGATACTACAGCCTATGACAGAAAATTGGCTGTGCAGGTTCACGTCTTCGTATAGCCTCCATATAACTACTGTACCTCCCGATATTCGGTACTTTGTTGATTTTAGCGACATTATTTACCGGAATTCTTACAAATTTGGTATTTGGTGTTCGTAGTGGATACTACTGCCTATGACAAAAGCTACATTATGCACCGATATTATTTTTTAAGTTTCGCATTTGAATATTGTAATGGCTTGTGACAAAACTTACCTATGCAGGTCCATGTCGTCGCATAGACCCTAATGTAACAGTTACATTCGGTATTTTTAAGATTTTATTTTTTTTAA